GCTTTAAAAAGAAGGTATCCTTGGGATGCCCGAAGAGCTTAAACTTGACTTTTCTTTTTAAAAAAGCGCGAAATTTTCTTTTCTTTAGACAATTGGGAAAAAAAAATTAACTTAAAAAATTAATATCAGATATGCAGTATAAAGAAATTGTTTAATGCGTTTCTTAACCTTTGGGATAATATATATTACGCTTGTTCTTCAACTGAAATTGACCGGAATCGCAAATCTGTAGTTTCTAGTGCCTGGGATCACATTGAGTTTTTATATTCATGTGTTTTTCATTCAATATATATGGATTTCTGTGTATGAAATTCGATTTACTCTATTCAATCAATCTACTTATCCCTATAAGTTATGCCACTTGACATACATTTACATATATATTCACATACATACATAGATACTACAATTTTATATAAAAAATCCTAACACAACAAGAGGCAAACTTTAATCATACGGCAAACACAGCTTGTTTCTGATTTGCTTCAAGTTGAAATTGTTAGTGAAAAAACCAGTGAAAAACTGCCCCGTGGAAGTTGAAGATCTTTCATAGTGCAAACTTTTCCTATTCTTCTATTCTTCGTAATTATTAAAAAATACATTAAACTATTATGAAACTTATGAAAGCCTTAAAAAAAACTATTTTTAAAAATGAGTTTCTAGCTATTTTTTTTAACTCTCTTTCAGAGCATTTTGTGTGATAATTGAAATTTGATAAGCTTGGTTTCAACTAGATTTAATTTGGATCAAAGAATTATATAAAAATATTATGAATAAAAATCTATATATATGTATATAAGTCCATATATAAGCTGCTCTAGGGTATTAATGCTTTGAAAAACAAGTTTTTGCTGTTGTTTTATTTTTTCCGTTTTTTTTTTTTTTTTACCGAGCACCGGAAGAGTTCTGCATGTAAATGTGTTGGAGGAAGTTTTCTGCTTAACTTTTCTGCTGTTGAAGTACAAAACTTAAAAATATGTGCAAGTATGTAAGGTGTATGTAATTTAAAATATGGCAATTTTGCAGTGTTTGGTATGTAGGTGTGCAAGGGATGGTGGGAGAGAGGGGAGGAAGGGGCGGCACACAATGCTAGACATCAAGATATGTATGTACAGACGGCGGTCGCTGTCGTTTGTGGGCCGGCACGTTTGTCAAAAGGGAAGTCAACAATTCTGCCACAGACTATTTTTATGTGCTACGGCGTTTTGTTGTGCGGCAGCAGGCAAAACAAGTCGCCAAACGAGTTAACGGCGGCCGGAGAGGCAAAGATGTAGATGCCGACTAAAAGAGTGACAGAGAGAGAGAGGGAGAGAGGGAGAGAGGGCGAGCGGTTGAGGCGGCGGCGGCAGCAGGTCGCTTGGCGCTTTTCGCTGCCAGTGTGGAGGCCTACAAACACACATACACACACACACACACATACACACGCACATGCACTCATACATGCACACATGCACACGTTTAGCGCCAAAGCAACAACAGCGTGACCGTCTCATAGACGCGGGCAGCGCGAGAGATCCACAGACACACACACACACACACACACACACACACACACACACAGCCAAATAAACATATCATAACATACACACATACAGCAGCCTGCATACATATGTAAATGGAGAAACGGCAGCTAAACAAACAGCAAAAACAACAACAACAACAACAACGAACGGCGTCTGCTTTAGCCCTAGCCCCAATCTTTGAGCTTTTCGCTTTTCGCTTTTACGCCTTGCTTCTCGTACTCATTCTTGTTCTTGTTCAATTTCGTTTCCATTCGTTTCGTTTCATTTGATTTGGTTTTTGGGCTTTGGCGCTGCTTGGCCGAGGCAGAAGCAGACGATGAAAACAAAAAAGTATGTGAAAAAGCAGAATAGGCAAAGGCAAAGAAGCGCCAGAATAAGTAGAAAAGAAGAAGAAGAAGCAGAAGCACCAGCTCGTATACATTTTGACAGCTGCGTAAGGGAAGGGGAGGGGGGGGGGGGGGGGAACGTGGTGCACAGGCTGTATTGTCGGCATTTTAGCTGCACTCACCGTAATAACTGCATCTACTTACATTTATAACTCACATTTGCATTAATTATTATTTTTGATTTATTATTGCACACGCACTCACAATACACAGTATAAGCACACACACACACACACGCACTCTTTTCTACTCTTCTCTATTTGTTATAAACAATTTGTTGTATGTATGTATTTCTTTTATATTTTGTTGCTCAGAGATTCTTCTTTTATTTTATTTATGTTTCGCACTTGCTTACGTCGCGCGCACGTACAACTTTTTAGCGTCCGTTATACGTCGTTTACATTTGCGTTGCCACTGAACTGCACACTGTGAGCGCCAATGAGAGACTGAAACGAATATTTGTGCTCGACGCCAGCAACTGCGGCCTCTGCTGCAGACGCTGCGACATCGCTGTGGCGACTGCGGGAGAGCAACTGCGCTGCCACGGGGGGCGCGTTTAATTAACATGTATTTGCTCGTAGAGTAATATGTGAGCGTTATGAATAAAAGATTAATGAATTAATATAGTTACCCATATATATATATATATATATATATATATAAATATATATACATATTAATACATATATTTATTGTTTTGTTGCGCCCCATTAGGTAGGCACCTCTGGTTGCCACTGCTTGTTTAAACTGCTTATGGCGCTACTTTAATTGAACACGTACATTTTGCTCTGCTTTAGTTGAATATGGCTTTTACGCTGCTTGTTTGGTATCGGGTCCTGTGGCGCAATGGATAACGCGTCTGACTACGGATCAGAAGATTCCAGGTTCGACTCCTGGCAGGATCGATTTTTTTTTCTTTCTGTTTTATTGATCTATAATAATTTAATAATATTCTAAATATAACTAAATAAGAAAATTTACTTCATATGATTGAAAAAGTAAAGTACAACATGTTATAAACGAAGATTTTATTTAAATATACACTCAACAAAAGATCCACTTAATATACTTTTATCGGAAGTATTTTTGCAGAGATTTGTTTTTGTTTATTTTTTACGCGAGTAAAACTTAATATAAAAATCCAAAATTAAGTGAATATTTTATGCATTTCAATATAATGATGCGGACAAATGGAAACAATATATGGTGATATTTGCTTAACCAACCACCGCCTCCCATATGGTCTAGTGGCTAGGATATCTGGCTTTCACCCAGAAGGCCCGGGTTCGATTCCCGGTATGGGAAGTTACTTTTTAAATTTATTTTTTCATTTCAAATACCAAAGGAAAACGCATCGATTACAGATCTATATCAACGTGCATAAAAATATGAGTTCTCCAGCTAATATTCTTTTATCCGATTTACGCACTGCATTTGCCTCGCAGACAATTGCAAACAGCACAAATGCGTTGCACATTCTTCGATTACAACTTTCTCCTATTATGCAAATCACAGCGGATAAAAACTCATTTGCACAGACACGCAAGCCTTCAAAGGGGATCATTTCGATGTCACCTTAAATGTCCTTGGCGTGCAATTGTACACACATCTGGTGTTTCCTCATATCCTCCACGCCCCATTCTGAAAAACTTTCGACGTTTCCGCTGTTTAGCATAAAGCGACACATAATCCACAAACTCCACACGACGCCACTTGATTTGCTTTTAGCCACCGCAGCAACTGCACTTTGTCATTGAGAGCTGCTTTTCCTGCTACTGGGCAAAATCCCTATTCAAGTGCATCATACTTGATGCAAGAAAATTAAGTAGCATTTGTTGCACGTATCCACTTTCAATAAACTTGTGACACGTACTGTACATTTAAAAAGTCTTAAGGTTCCGTGGTAAGTGAACAATTCTCAAAAAGTTTCTAAAAAGTAAAAAGAAATCCGATCCTGCCAGGAGTCGAACCTGGAATCTTCTGATCCGTAGTCAGACGCGTTATCCATTGCGCCACAGGACCGATGTGGCACTTTAGCCAAAAGCTTAATAAGAAGCGTAAGATTTAAAGAGTGAAGCTTTTATAATTAAATTATGTTATTGTGAAGTACAATATGACAATTCTAGATGTATGTTTCCACATACTATTATGAGTATTCAAAGGTTTACTTACAAATGCGGGCAAATGTAATATATAAGAAAAATTCCGTGTATTTCCATTGAGTACCCGTTATGCAAAGCCGACTTGAAAATATGATACACAACATATGATACATACATTAATATACTTTTAGTGGATTTAGTGTTTTTAGTACAAAAAATTATTTATATTAAAGTGAATTATTAAGAAATAATTAAACAAAATAAACGATCCTGCCAGGAGTCGAACCTGGAATCTTCTGATCCGTAGTCAGACGCGTTATCCATTGCGCCACAGGACCACACGGTGTGTTTATGTCATAATAGCTTTAACAGCGCCTACCAATGACGCATTGATGTCTATAACTGCATTACCGACAACATACAAGCAGTTAACTGACGAATAGTTGAACACGCAGATGAAAACTGCTTTGAATTAATACACATTTAATTCTCTTAAAATTCTTGTACGCTTAAGTTAAACTTTGCCAATGCGTTGGTCATCTCCCATATTGTCTAGTGGTTAGGATATCCGGCTCTCACCCGGAAGGCCCGGGTTCAATTCCCGGTATGGGAAGCAGATTTGGCGTTATTTTTTAATTTTCTTACGCTTATTTTTTAACTTTGTAGCTGTTGATTCTGTATTGTTAAGCATAAATTGGTTTTCAATTATTAATTTTAGGTTAGATATTAGAAATTTAAATTGTCCCGGACAGAATGGCAGAAAGACCTGTACATATTGCGTCGGCTTTTAATGCAAATCTCGATTTTGAAAGCTTTGTTTTGTTCGCGGCAGAAAAACACGAGTGTATATTTTGTCTAGTCATCGAGTGTAGGCAAATTTACTTGCCCGCCATGTTCGCAAAGTGTGTTATCAAACGGAAAATAAACCAAGTTAGAATGACTAGACGATTGTCGTGTTCTCGTGGAAATAAAAGCTTTAGCAAGAGCAATGCCCAAAACAGTGGCTGCATGTAGCCGAAGCCTTAAACATGTCTACAGAGCTGTTACTACTGATCGCCACATTGGCGATCGTTTTCTATATATGGCAGCGACGCGCCTACAGCTACTGGCTGCGATCGGGCGTAAAGCAAATCGAACCGTCGCCAATATTTGGAAATGCCCGCAGTATACTTACCGGCCGAGTAGCGTTCTTTGAGCAGATTCGTATGCTGCACACGGCGAAAGGTTTTGAAAATGAGCCGTTTGTCGGGGTGTATCTACTGCATCGTCCAGCTTTAATCATTAGAGATCTGGATCTGATTAAAACGGTGATGATCAAGAAATTTAGCTACTTTGCAAATCGTGCGCTACAAACCGATCCGCATCGCGATCCGCTGGGCAACAACAATCTGTTCTTTGTACGCAATCCTGACTGGAAGGAGTTGCGCAATAAAATCTCGCCCGTGTTCACCAGCGGCAAGATCAAGCAAATGTATCCATTGATGTTGGAGGTGAGTGCCAGAGGCTTAATTTTTTGCGATCTGAAATTCATTTAAATTATGAACCGCAGATCGGCAAGAATCTTGAAGCGAATCTGGCAGAACTACCCGCTGATTCTCTGATAAGTATTAAAAGTATTTGCGCGCGTTTCACCACGGATCTTATAGCGACCACCGCATTTGGACTGAAGGCCAATGCACTGGGCGATATAAAGAGCGAATTTTATAAATACAACAAGTCCATTTTCGACATAAACTTTAGGCGCGGCATCGACTTTACCATTATCTTTATGCTGCCCATGTTGGCATCGTTGGCCCGCGTTACGGTCTTCTCCAAGCAAGCCTCCAATTTCATGCGCCGCAGCATCAGCTATGTTCTGGCAGAACGCGAGAAATCGGGTGTGCGACGCAACGATCTGATTGACATATTGCTGACGATGAAGCGAGAGGCTGCTGCCCAGCCCGATAAGAAAGATAATAGAGCCAAGGAACTGGACTATCTTGTGGCACAGGCAGCAATCTTTCAGACCGCGGGCTACGAGACCAGCGCCTCGACCATGACCATGACGCTGTTCGAGTTCGCCCATCATCCTGAGATACAGGAGCGTTTGCGTCGGGAAATAAATGATTACTTTGGTTCAGAGGATCACATTGATTACGATCGCATTCAGGAGATGCCCTATCTGACTCAGGTGGTGAATGAAACGCTACGCAAGTATCCCATTGTTGGTTATGCCGAACGTGAATGCACACAGCCCGCGACTGGGGAACGCTTTACTCTGGCACCCTACTCCGATCTGGAACTGCCCAGTGGCCTACCGATCTATATTTCCAGCATAGGCATACATCGTGATGAGCAGGTCAGTTAAGCTCTTGTTAAAGCTCTTTTATACCAATGAAAACTGTTTAAGACCGGGTTAAGTCCCATTTCTAACTTGAAATCGATTAAGCCTGGTTTGAAATGGCTGTAAAACTGTTTTTATACTGTTTAAAACCTGTTTTAAGTGGTTTTGAAACCCCCTTTTGAAACAATTTTAAGCCTGCCTCAAACATGTTTTTAATTTATTCAAACAAACCTCAAACAAACCTTTAAAACTTTTCAAAAACTGTTTAAAACAGGCCTTAATTTGTAACCCAAATTGGATTTCGCGCCAGTTGTAATACTTTTTATAACCTAATTTAAAATAGTTTTAATCTGTTTGAAACCTAATTTAAACCTGCTTTGAACCTGTTTAAGACTGCTTCTAAATCTGTTTTAAACTCCATTTAAACGTCTTTTAACCCTCTTTTGTGCCTCCTTTAAACCTATTTTAAACCTCTTTTTAATCTCGCTTATACACGTTTTCAGTACTGGCCGGAACCGGAAAAATATAATCCGGACCGTTTTGCGCCCGAGAACCGTGATTCTCTAAACATGGATGCGTATATGCCCTTTGGCATTGGGCCACGCAATTGCATTGGGATGCGTCTTGGTCTATTGCAGGCCAAATTGGGTCTGGTTCATTTACTGCGCAATTATCGGGTGGTCAAGTGCGACAAAACCCCCAAGACTATTCGATTTGCCAATTTTAGTGCTGTGATCACACCAAAGGATGAAATCTTTCTAAAACTACAGCGTGCTTAGACTGGAAGAGACTACAGTTGAAGTCCACAACGAGCCTCAGTTCAAGCCAAATAAAAGTGTAAATATTGCTTAGAATTTGCAAAACCCTCCACCAAATATGAGCATAAACTTAACAATAAAATTGTTAAAAATATCAACTTGAGCAACTTTCGGATTTTAAAAATTAAAAATAAGAAGTTTGTTAATTGTCTAAAATATCTACGTAATTCATTGTATATGTATATATATTTGTTAAAGCTTATTGATGATTATATTAAAATGTTTTAAAAAAAAATGTATATATGTGGCTTTAAAATTTGTTGACAAAGAGCAGAAAATATCTTGACCAATAAACAGCGAGGAGATGAAAAAGTACTCGAAAAACATGCTCTAAAAGATAAATGGTATATGGTATATAGGCATATGTAGGAGATCGGGGCAAAACTATATTCGACGCAATTGCATATGGTTTAAATTGAGCTTTAATGAAATTTCATTCAAATACATGTGTTTTAAGTAAATGTCTACTGCCATTAAAAAGCTGCCCACTTATTTGCATAACTTGTACAAATAATTGTTTTATATATGCTATATAAATATATATAGCTTTCATATCGCGTGCGCCTAACAAGCCGTAAGGTTTTATTAGCTTTTAATTAATGATAAGTGCACAGTTTAATCTCAGTTGTTATGCTACACTCGGCGAAAAAACATGTTCTAAATTCTATAATATACAATATTATAATATTTCTCATTGTTAACAACAAGTTAAATATTTTTAAAATTCACTGTAAATATTAATTTAAGAATTCGGGGATTAAAGACACATATTGAAAATATATAAGATAATTGCTTGGAAAAATATATCTACCGAAACATTATTTTTAAATTTCAGAATAATTAAAAACAAAAAAATTGTTGAATTGGATTATTTTCAAGCTATGATATATCTTTATATCTTCTATTCAAGAATTTGGGGGTTACATTTAAATTTCCTACATTGAAGAATTTAAATATTAAAGACAGAAGTTCTTAATTTTAAGAATAAAAGCTAAAGGCTAAGTAAGATTAAGTTTCGCTAGTTTTATAAAAGGTTTCTTTTGTTTTGTGTACACAATTTTTCTGAGTGCACAAGGCACATGGCAAATATTGCAAGGCAGATTACTTAATCAATCAAATGCGTTCAATGACTGGCCAAACAATTGGATTTACTTCAACATTTCTGCTATTTAACCTTGCCCCCGCCTCAACCCACAACCAAAGGCAAGCCAGTTGTGGCGACTCGTGCATGACATGCCAAGGATGCCCCGTGGACAATTATCCTTCAGCTAAGCTGCTGGCAACCTCGAGGAGTAGCAAATGTCTCATAATGGGGCAGGGGCAACACTTGCTTGCAACAATTGCGGTTGCCGCAAAAAAGTTTTTGCTCAACAAAATGACGCTGTAAAATACATTCCCGGCAACAGCTGTGAGTCCTTGTAATATCCATGTACCGACTTTGTTGTAGCAAGTTGTTGTTGTTGTTGCTTTATTACACACACTGAAGCTGGAGCACTTAACGCACTTAATACAATTGTCAATTTACCCAGCGCAATGTCGCAGAAGCGCTTAAAAAGCGGGACGAGTACGATCCAAGTGTGGGGGCACTCAGTTGCATCTTAACCACGTAATGCGCCTCATAACGTGGCTAATTACAAATGCATCTCACTCGTATCATTAGCTACTTTGTAATGTGTCTAACAGAACACATATTTAGCATGCAAAAAGGTGTCTTTTGGTTTTAATAAATATCATTTGCGTAGCCTAATTATATTGCGAGTACTTATTAAACTCTAGCGTGACATCGACTCATTAAATCAAGAGATAAGAGTGTTCAGATTATTAATATTGTTTTTTTCTTATTTCCTTTGGCATGGGCGGAATGTTTATAGAAAGATTATCGCAAATCATTTAATTTGTATTTCTCTTCTCTTCAAATTCTCAATTGACTATTCTTGAGTTTCAGATATATATTCATGCTTTAGTCACTCGCCTTTCGCCAACGACCATACCACGCTGAATACATCGGTTCTCGTCCGATCACCGAAATTAAGCAGCGTCGGGCGCGGTTAGTACTTAGATGGGGGACCGCTTGGGAACACCGCGTGTTGTTGGCATCGGTTAACAACCATTTTTTTATAAATCGATAGCTGCAATAAATTTCACTTTTTTCTTTAATTTTAAGTATATACTGAAAATACATAAGCTTTTTGATTAAAATGTTTTGCTTCGGCCTTTAATTGATTTGTAGGTAGACATAGCTTATGGATATTATTAGTTAAAAGTATATATAATGATAGTTTTATTCAACGATTAGTGCCCAATTGGTTCCTAACAAGCCTCGAACCCTTACAACTTAAATAATTCAAGAAATAGTTATACATTTTTGAGTCATACACATTTTAACGGGAATCCGCACAATATTCCATTCGTTAGTAAACATACAATTGTAATGCGAGAAAAATCAATGTCACAATTTTAACACAATAAATTTGTCCAAGCGATAATAATATTAAAATTATATTCTTTCTCGCATAAGAGCTATATAAATGTAGCTATGCTATGCATTAGTCGGGAAGTTGTGTTAACTTTACACTCAATTAATTCGAGCATTTATACCAAAGACGAATATAAAAATTCCCAGTTGCTCATTCTCGAATTGTAGATACATATTCACGCTTAAGTCCCTCGTCTTTCGCCAACGACCATACCACGCTGAATACATCGGTTCTCGTCCGATCACCGAAATTAAGCAGCGTCGGGCGCGGTTAGTACTTAGATGGGGGACCGCTTGGGAACACCGCGTGTTGTTGGCATTGGTTGACAACCGCTATTTTTTTGATATCTCGGAAAAATCGAGCTTATTCAATTAATCTTTATGGATTATTTTGTCTCTTAAGTATTTTATTTATGTAAAATTTTGTGTTGGCTGGCTAAAAGTCCGGGTTTGTTACAATATACAGTTAATAAAAACCATTTCTTGATGTGAAAGCTTTTCAAGCTAAGACTGTTTGTTTCTTCTCTTCCTTTAGTTTTCCCCAAGTTGTTCTTTAGTTTCTATCTTTTCATTTTTTTTTTGACAATATTTGCCTTGTGCATTTTGCAACTTTCGTAACGACATCAAAATCAACGTGAAAAAATGTGAAATGACATAAAATTAAATGATATACTGCATTTAAGCCAATTTACAGTTGACTTGTTTTCACGTGGGGTGTGGTTGGTCGGATGGGGGATTGGGGAGGAGCTGCAACTCAAGCGTACGCAACAGCTTGCAATGACTTTGCACTGACCTTGTCGGGCGAAAGGGCCGCAACTGCAGAAACCAAATACGAAATACGAAATCCATTTCCCGATTCAACTTATTCTCCCCATGTGCTATTGAAAACTGCGTGTAAGTCGCACGCGATATAGATACCCATTACCAATGGCAAGCTATAAAAGGGGTATGATATACTTGTGCACAGGTTCTTAGGTATATGAAGTAAATATTTCAAAATGATTTGTATTTCTACTAACATTTATGTATTTTTTTTATTTTTTTTTATATTTTATTTACCAGCTTTAAATCCTTATTTATATATATTTATTATTTGACTGCCTTTTATTGGAGTCTTCCAGTATACTAAGAGGTAACTCCTAGTCGATGCCTGTGGCAATTCTGTCTATTTAGTATCTAGCTTTTGTTACCTTCACGCATCTTTGGACTTATTCATTTTTATTGAATTGCATTGGCAATGCCATCGAACAACAAAATCCACTCAACGATAGCTACTTAAAGTTGTTGTAGTAAGTTTTTGGGTGCGGATGCGGCACCTGCAGCAAAATGCACATAACTGGACGGCTGGCCATTAGTTTTAATTAGCCCCACTGTGCACAGTGCATTTCATTCCGCTAGATTAGCCATCATAAAAGCAAAACTGCGACTGAAACTCAGATAAAGCTTCGCCTTGAGCAGAAATTGCATGCAAATTGACATAAAATTAATAAACACGCAAATTGCATCGTTTTTGGGTAAACTAAGGTAAGGGGGAGGAGTACAGTACAGTACAGTATGTGTTGGCGAGAGGGGGGGACAGCATTATTCTAATTAGCTGGAAACTTTACCCCAGAACCTTGTGCTACATCAAGAATTTGTTAATTAAACGGAGGGCGAGCCACGCTAATGTCTCCAGCTTTGACGGGACATTGACTAAGAACAAAAAAAAAATAATAACATAAAAGTGCGATAAAATCTTAATGAAACATTGGATTTTGTTGCACTGATTTGACAAAGTAACTTCTCAGGCGAGGGAACGCAGGGTCAGAGTTTTAATAATGCAAACTAAATGAGTGGCGATTGCTTAAGCAAAAGGGACGTCAGCTGGAGCCACTGATAAATGTTTTTCAATGAAATTATTTAGTTTCTATTTTGATGGGAATACAAATTTAACCTGCTTTTTATGCTATTCAATTAATTCTTCGATTAAATGAAGGAATTTAACACACCTAATATAATATTTGTATATTGAATAAATTCTTTAAAAAAGTAAAGCATTAGCTAATATTGTCGAATATTCAAAATTCACGTTTGCTTATTCCCGATTTCCAGATACATATTCACGCTTTAGTCAATCGTCTTTCGCCAACGACCATACCACGCTGAATACATCGGTTCTCGTCCGATCACCGAAATTAAGCAGCGTCGGGCGCGGTTAGTACTTAGATGGGGGACCGCTTGGGAACACCGCGTGTTGTTGGCATCGGTCAACAATCTTTTTTTTTATAAATAAATCAATAGCTGCAAAGAATTTTACTTTTTTCTTTAATTTTAAGTATATATATCTCTCAGCTTTTAAATCTTTTTGATTAAAAGGTTCTACTTCGGCCTTTAATATATTTTTACATAGACATAGCTTATGAAAATTATTAGTTATAAGTATATAAAATGATAGTTTTATTCAACGATTAGTGTGCTCAATTGGTTCCAAACAAGCCTTCAACTCTTAAAACTTACTTAAATAATTCAAGTAATAGCTATACATTTTTGAGTCATACACATTTTAACGGGAATCCGCACAATCTGCCATTCGTTAGTAAACATACAATTGTAATGCGAGAAAAATCAATGTCACAATTTTAACACAA